AAGAAGAGAGGTACTGCCCGGCTCTCCCCAGCCTCCTTCCAGTCACATCTGTCACGTTGGCCACTTGTGCCTCTGTCTTCTAGTGACTTTTTCCCCCGTAATAGCTCTCACTGTTGCCTTCTTAGCCCCTCTCTCTGTTAAGACTCATGCATGGGAGCTGGGGAGACGCTAAGGTGATCAAGCTTTCGCCATGCAAGTCTGAGGGCGTAAGTTCAGATCCACGTAGAGCTGGACATCACAGCTCACTAACCCTGGCCGTCCTGTGCTGAGAGGGGAGGTAGAGACCAAGAGTCCCCGGGAGCTGCCAATGGCATTTTCGAACAACCAAAGACCCCGTCTCAAACAAGGTGGAGGGGGAAGATGGACACCTGAGGCTCTGACTGACATCTCCGGCATACACATGCACACCATGACGCACATGCACTCAAACACATGAACCTGCAGACTTACATATAATACACACCACATCACACACACAAAGGAGCCATTCAGGAATGAGACCCCTTTATCAAAGGCTCAAACCAGGCCACTCTCCGCAGTCCCTTCCTCTCTTTCTTCAGATTATTTTGTAAGTTCATACAATAACAAGCTACTTATACAACCAAACTTCTCACCAATCTACCTACGAGTTCAGTCTTGCCTCAGTCCCCAGATTTAATCAAGGAAAGAGGTTTGTTTTTTTTTTTTTTGTGTGTGTGTGTGTGCTAGATTAGTCAACTTTCTGAAATGCACAGTAAATAGGAAAGTTCCTGTCAGAATCCAAATTGAAAATATAAGGGACATGACCCAAAGGAGAGAGGATATGTCCTTGCAATGCATGGGGAGGGGGGCGGGGGACGACAGGCCACCTATTAAAATATGATACAGCGGGAAAGTGCATCAGAAAGCACACGCCAAGGATTTTGAAGAACAAAGCAAACATTCCCAACTGCCAGTAGTTCATCATGTGCATGTTCGACAAAGTAAAGCTAAAATACCGGAGTAAAATATCAAAAGGCACTATCCAATAGACAATTCTATCAACAGAGTCCTGAGTGATAAGGAAGAAAAGAAGCCAAGCAAGATTAAAGACATTTCCCACAGACATTTTAAGTATGCAAGAAAAGCAGAAAGGATGAAAGTGGGCTTAGGAACTAAAAATAGATTAAAGTTTAGCCAGGAGACGAGAAAAGGCTCCATAAAGGGAGCATTGTATGTGGCCATCTCGGCCCAGAAAGACAAGTGCTGTTATAGTCACTTTCACGTGGATCCTAACTTCACATTTTTAGATTTGTATGTTTAATTTGGGGTGTCCGTAGAGGTCAGCGAGGGGTGGGGGAAAGGCCTTACAGATGGGGCAGTAGGATATGAGAGCAGGAGGGGATTCCGCGGACTAAAGGTTTAAGCAGGTTTGAGGGTAAAGACATGGGGCGGGATGAGGTGAAGGATGTAAACCCCAAATTAAGAAAGAGTCTCACAGGAATCCACTGCTTTGTAAGTTAACGGCACAGTTTTTCAGAAACAAAGAGTTTGAGTGGAGGCGCCCTGGGGGTTGGGGGTGGACAGTGCTTCCCCCAGAGGAGGACATGGGCTGTTAAGCGAAAATCTCAGTGCCAGTGTGGGATACTTCCCTACAAAGTATTGGTCAGAGAGAGCCCCAGAGACCTCCAAAACAGCACAGGCTATGAGCATGGGGCTTGGTAGGACTCTATTGCTGAAGACATAATACACTCCTATTGCAGGACGTACAGAAATCAAATTAGAAATTACCAGGATGCCACCTCCCTGATGGCTAATTTTCATAATGCCAGATGGCACTGTGGGGGATGCTGGGGAGAAAAATCATCAGTGGACTTACTCAGCAGTGGACCCTGCATGTCACAATACTGACCTGGCAGGCAAGATGTGCCTGCTAGTCCAATAATGGAATCACTGTTAGGAGGTCACTAACCACTTCCTGACTAGATCTGAAGCCCTGCTCCACAGGAAAGAAGTCATACCTGATACTGTAAACCTGGGCAAAGCCTGTGGCTGGGAGATCACAGGGGCTGCGGGGGCGGGGGGCGTGGGGGCGGGGGGAGTACTGCTGTTGTTCTGTTATACAGACATCCTCAAACGCCGTCTAAATATTTGTGTTTACGGCAGTAGGTGAGTGCTTCTCTGTCTTAGCAGAGAAGTCTCTTTTTTGCAGTAGGCAACGAGTCAAGGCAAAGATTCATAAATCGGTCAAGGTGCTGGGACTACGGGACTGTTGAGCTGAGCTCCTAGCCCCGAAAGGTATACCCTCAAAGCTCAGGAAATATCACAGAAGAGGGAGCAGAAAGAAGGTAACACCCGTGGTGAGAATTTGGCGTTACATAACTAAGTATGTAGGTTACATACATAGATAGAGGCTAACATTGCTGCCTTCCAAAAATATAAGGGTCAGGGGAAGGACAGCAGTGCTATAAAACGCTCGCTAAGTTGTGCTTACCTGCACAGGGCCCTCACAAGATCAAGCCCATCAATACTCCAGCATCGGTGGAAGGTCTGATGAAGCTCCACCCCAGCGGAGGAGCTACTGGCGATTGTTAACTGCCGGGAGAGGAGGGGTCATTTTTCTTTAGGGGTGCGGCCGCTGGTAGGTTCCCCATTCTCCAATGGATGGCGGCATACCGTGTATATGTAGGCGATTAACTGGACTCATGGAGTAGGTAAAAAGGAAGATGCCATGAAACTGGGGAAGGGGGAGTATTGGGAGAGCCCCAGAGGAGTGGAAGGAAGGATTTGGCTTAGAGATGATCAAGATATATTGTATGTGTGTATATGTGCGCATATATATATATACATACATATGCATATCTATGCATGAAATTGTCAAAGAGTAATAAAAAATATTTTTAAGAAATACCATTGCATACAATTGTTTCCAGAATAAAATATGGAAAGGACAGTTCTAAGGGAGGCGGGCACCAGGATGGGCTGAATGGACCCCTCTTAACTTCAGCTGCTAGAAGCATCGCCAGCCTTCAGCTGGCAGCTCCTTTGGGAACTATGTCAGTGAGACAGAGTTTTGCCCAAGGTTACGCCCCTTCGCAGAGATGCCCACAGCGAGTAGCTGCCCCGTTAGAGACAGCAAGGTCTTCCCAGTGTGACCCAGCTCAGGGCAACTCTGAAGCACTGTTCTCTTTCCAGAGTGCTCTGAAACTGCAGTCGGCTGGGACTGACATCTGGGTGCCGGTCCTCTCCTCCTTCCTGCTCCGCTCCCTCTCTCCTTCTCTTAGACACTGACACTCAGGGAACCCCAGAAGAACGTTTTAACCACGAAACCCCAGCTCAGAGTGTGCTTCCCTGCCTGCCTGACCTGGGAGGGAAGATGAAGCAACAGATGAATTTACACAAGACTTTACAAAGGAGTCAATTAAAAGATGCAAAGAATGGAGATGGTCACAGTCAGGGAACCATAGCTGTCTAAACATGACGGATGTGAGTCACTTGGTTTCTCTTACTTAAGGTTCCTAGATATTAAATTGATGCATAAAATCAAACATATATGTATGAAATCATATACCTACATATATACATATATGTATATATATACATACATATACATACACATATATATAACACATGAAAATAGAAACATTAGGGACTAATGGGATGGGGAAGAAGAGGAGAAAGAGGAGGAGGAGGAAGATGGAGAACTCATCCAGGGTAAAGAGTATGAGGAGAGAACATGCTCAATGAACAAGACACAAGTTTGAAAATCTTACAGAACGGCACCACATACAATGCATATACTCCAGTGGGAAAACAGGAAAGGGATGAATATGAAGAAAGCAGGGGGAGAATTCTTGTGTTTATAACCTGGCTGCTTTGCTACTTGAGACTTTCAGGGTTATTTGAAATAACAAATGGTTCCATGTCATATGTGTAAAAAGTTAATATTAATTATGTAAAGCAATAAGGACATTGCCAATCACATGTGGAAGAGAGATGGGAAAGAAAATTAACACTTGAGGTTCCTCACACTACTGACGAATCCCTTGTATGAATTTCATCATAAAGACTGAGGGGGGCACAGTAGGAAGATAAAATGCTGGACAGGACTCAGGACTTAGCGCTAGAGAACTGGTCTGGCGTGAGCAAGACGCTGAGTTTCATTCTTGGCACTCCAAATAGAGGGAGCAAAAGATGATAGAGAAGATGTAACACTATGCGGTAAGGAGGAGAAGCTTAGCTGCCTCGTGATTTAGAACTCAGCAAGACAGGGACAGGTACGTGTCCTATACAGGAGGATTTATTAAACACAGGCTCGTGGGCAGCTGTGGTTCACTTTGAGCAAAAGGGCAGGGCCTGAAAACATCTGGGTTCTTGGCGTCATTTGTTTCTAAAGCCTGTGAGAAAAAAAAAATCTCTTCTCTGTTGTACTGGGAGGATTGTGAGGCTTTGAAGAAGCACTCCCTCTGAACACAGTCTGAAGATTCAAGTAACCAACGGTTAAGAACTTAAGACCAGAGAAACAGATTTGGGGCTAACTGTTCTTCCCACCATTGGAAAGTGTGCTGCATCAGAGGCAAATTAAATCTACATGTTATAGGCATGCTATAGGCTTTATATTAATCGTCACAGAGGAAGTTAATGATCAATTAGCCAGTGAATGATTTCAACATGGTGGATTTCGGTTCTTTGGCCTTGTTTTGATTTTGCTCTATTTGGAGACAGGGTCTCACTACGTAGCTCTGGCTGGCTTGGAGCTCACTGCATAGACCAGACTGGCCTCAAACTCATGGGGATCCAGTGATTCCAGGGCGCTGGGATTAAAGATACGTGCGATAATTTGGATTATATAATGAAACCAGAAAAGAAGATGAAGAAAAAAAAATCACTCGAACAGTGAAAACTATAATATATAACAAACATAGGAAAGCCTATGAGGGTAAAAGGAGGGGGAAATTTTATTTGAAATAGTAACATATAAAAGAAAGAAAAGATAAAAGTAAATAAAATTAAGCGTGATTTTTCTTGTTGCTTTGAGACAGGCTCTCACACAGTCCAATATTCATCTTGTCCACAAAGCTACAAGAGAGAACCAGGATGGAGCCAAGTCCAAGGCTGAAGGCTCCTAAGTTCCCTGGAGGATTTGGTGTGAGTGTGCATGCAAAAGCTGAAGAATCAAGAGTGTGGTGCCCAGGGTAATGAAGCCACCAAGAAATACACCTGCTCAAGAAAAACGAGGCTTGCACTGAAGGACTAGCCAAGCCCCCTGCATCTTTCAGGTTTTGTTCCATCCCACCCCACCCCCAGTCTATTGGACAGTGGCCATAAAGGCGGTTCTGGGAAAATTCCCCACCGTTGCTGAAATGAACACTATCAGGGAGCTCTCAAGAACTCCTAGTAAGCATCTGCATTTATGTAAGATGTGCTTCGAAATTCTTCCAGTGTCACTGCCAGTCAGCTCTAGACATGCCCCCCGCGGACACACCCAGAAGTGGCCTTTACCCATTTTCTAGACATCACACAATTCTATCAAGTTGAGGATTAAGTAACGCAGATAAAAGTGTCACCTTTTGCCAAGGATGTTTGGTTACATTCCGGGATAGAGAGAAATCTCTCTCCAAAGGGCAGAAGGCAAACCAACAGTGTGATGAGCTCAGGATCCACTGATTTGGAGGTAACACCTGGCCCCATCCCATCATCATCTGGACATTGTAAGGAGTTGTACTTAATGCTGCTGTGGATGTTCTTCTTGCTATGAGGGATAATGGATGCCTCTCTTCATGGGTCTTCTGCCCACCCATCATATGCTTATAAAGGAGGGTAAGGACCTTTCAAGAGTATATCTTAGATCCTTTGCACTTTGGAACTTACCAGAAACAATGTGTAAATCTTGTTATGGGTATTTGGTGTAGGGAAAGGGAATAGATAGTTCCAATTTAATAAGCATGTAACAATAAAATGAAAGTACTTACATTTTAAACCTTTTTGTTTGATTTGGTTTGGTTTGGTTTGGTTTGGTTTGGTTTGGTTTTTTGAGACAGGGTTTCTCTGTGTAACAGCTCTGGCCATCCTGGAACTTGCTTTGTAGTCCAGGCTGGCCTCAAATTCACTGAGATCCACCTGCCTCTGCCTCCCAAGTGCGGGAATTAAAGGCATGCACCACTATACCCAGCTAAATCCTAAATCTTATGCAGACTAAAGGAAATAGGTCCAGTAATTCATGGAACCTAAAATATTGATAGCGATGGACATCGGCAACATTGCACCATATAGCAGTGGTACCCCACTCTTCCAGGGGGAGTACCCACCCTTCAGGAATAGTAAGTACTCCATTCCTCGGGGGTAGTACCCACATTGCAGCATGGCTGCTCTGTAGTTGGCAAATGTAAGGTGTCTGTGACATTTAATCTTTGTCAATTTGATTAGATTTGGAACCGACAAAGAATCCCGCTTCTGAACAGATCCGCGGAGGACATTCCCAGGAAGGACTAACTGAGAGGGGTGAGACTCTCCAAGAGTGAGCAGCACCTTTTGGCATAAGAGGCCTGAGAGGCCCAGCTACAAAGAGGTCTGAGGAAAAGGCGGGGCTCCTTCTTTCTCCGACTTCCCTTATTGTGAGGGAGTGGACCCACCCTGTTGTTGCGGCGGCTGTCAACAGAATTATGTTGTGTTGGTTTGGTTGTCTGAATAAGAATGGTCCCCATAGGCTCCTGTACCTGACTGTTCAGTCACTAGGGAGTGGTCCACTGGGGAAGCATTAGGAGGAGTGGCCTTGTGGGAGGAGATGTAGCCTTGTGGGAGGAAGTGTGTCACTGGGAGAGGGCTTTGAGGTTTCAAAAGCCCAGCCAGGCCCAGTCTTCCCCCACCCCACCCCCTTTCTTTCTGCTGCACACAGATCAGGATTATAGAACTCTTAGCGACTTCTCCAGCACCATGCCTACTCCCTGACACGATGACAATGAACTAAACCTTTGAACGCGTAAGCCAGCCCCAACGAAATGATTCCTTTCATAAGAGTTGCCTTGACATATCTCTTAGCAGCAACAGAACAGTGGCTGTGACCGTCGGTGTTTCAATGTGGACTACAGCCCAGCAGCTCTCTCCAGGAATCCTCCAGGCCTTCGGGACCAGATTGGGAGTGCTGAGGCATCCGCCTTTGTGGACTGAGCAGCTACCAGGTTCTCAGCCTCTCCAGGGTGAAGAGCTATCCAGCTCAGATCACGTAAGGCAATCCAATAAATCCTCTTTTGTAATACATGTTTGCCCTATCAATTCTGTTCCTCTAGAGGACGCTAATGCAGTCAGTACCCATGCAGAGCTCTAAATTGCATATATGTGGGCACCTTCTATTTGTGTATGATAATGTTTCTTCTCTTCAGCCTTCCACAGTTGCATATTTCCCTTTCTGCCAACTGCTTGCCCACCATCTCTTCACTGGGCTACAATTGCTGTGTCAGCAAATTTTGACATATTTCCTACAGCTGAGGGTGTTGAGCTGTTCAGTGTGAGGTCTTTGGTGTTTTGGTTTTTTTTTCCTGCTATAATTTATACTTTTCCAATGCCTGGAGTTTATCAGTTTTGCTCTATTTCTCTGAAGGCAAATAACAGCACCAACCACCACAGACTGGCTCTGTCTGACATCCAAAGACTGCCTTTTCAATATTCTAAACTCCGGAGATGATCTGAACGTTCTGAATTTCCCCCCTGAGTGTGCCCAGAGACAGGCACAGGTGAGGAACATAAATTAAATGTCAAGAAGAGTCCTCCTGACAGTGCCTTGGGAGTCTTTCAGAGAGCGGCAACCAAAGGGAGGAGCCAAAATTCTCACCTTCTTCATATTTAGTCAAGCTGTTGGCTCTCAATTGCTACTTTTCTTCAAGCAGCAATCTTCTTGTCCATTGTCGTAACAAACAGTTCTGATTGCTTTATTCAAAGGGTCTCCATCAAAATATGCCATAAAGCCAGTTCCAGGAAAATTGGCTATTGTTGCTAAATGCACACTTACCAGAGAGCTCTACGGAACTCGTAGTACACTTCTGCATTTACATAAGATTAATTTGCTTTTCAATTCTTGAAGTGTCCATGCCTTTATTGATTTTTTTTTTCTTTTTAAATGCTAGCTAGCTTAACTTCTCTTCACTCCCTCCCTTTGGCCCTCAGCGCTCTCCTTCTCCGTGACAATACTTGGGATGGTCAACAGATGACATCATACTGTTTCTAGGACTAAGGTAGGGTGCTCATGTTTGTGTGGATCTCTTCATTACTGATTCAAAATCTACCCACACCAAACATTCCAAAATAGTGTCCCTCCCCCTGCTTTGCCATTCCCTTGAGGTCTATTCTGCATGTAGAGTAGGAAAGAAAAGAAGCAGAGAGTAATCGTGAGTCATTGACTTGAAAGCACAAGGTGTTTGCAAGAGACGATGTCAAGATCAAGATAGCCAGAGGCACCTTAGTCCACATACCTGTTCACATCTGGCAGGTCTGCATCTTGCCCACTGGCCCAATCGATCACAAATGCCTTCCTTCTAATGCACAGCACAGAAGAGGCAGAGGGACGCAAGCATCTCAGAGATTATACTCCTAGCCTGAGATTAGAAAAGCACCCAAAAAGTGAGTTAAGGTAACCACCAAATCGGATCCTAGCTAAGACAAAGAGAACTTTAAATAAGCTAGATTGGAATTTAGGGACTAGTCCTGAAATTTTTCTTGGGCATGAATGGAGGATGGGAATGTAGTTCAAAGCAGTTCTGTGAAGCCTGGGTTGAGACGAGGTCTGTCTGGACCTTACAGAGGGAAAGATGTTGCATCCACATACAGGTGGGAACATCTAGCATGGCCATGGTGAAGAGGGGTGGGACATGCGGGGGCTTTTGTTCTCCTTTGATGCTGGAACAGTCTCTCTGACTTCTTTTCTTCTAGGGTGTCCACTTACATATGTTCCTGCAGTAAACATGTGCAGAACGTGTGGACTGTGCAGAACATTGTACCTCGTGACATGTGAATTATGTAAGACAGTGTCCCCATCTTAATAATTATCCTATTTTAGGAGAGTATAGCCTAGGCTGATATTTCCTGAGCTCTTTTTAAGGAATTGTTGCTTATGAGTCTTATTTGAATCTATTTCTATACTCAAATTTTTAGGAAACACTCTATCAAATAGCACTGTTGGCTGCCATCGTCTGTACTAGTATGGCAAGGTCCTGACATACCTGCAAGACAAGACCTGTTGAACTCACTCTTTCATCCCTTTATTTGCTCGTATAACTCGATATTCTTCTCATCATAATTCATAACAGCCCAAATGAAGAACATTTTGGAAGGGGGCGTGTCTGCATATGTGCCGATGTGTGTGCTCCTGTTTGTGAGTGTGTAGAGGGAGAGGTTATCCTTGGGTTGTTGTTCCTCGGGTGCTGTCCACCTTGTTTTTTTGAGACAGGGTCTCTCCCTGAGACCTGAGACTTGCCAAGTAGATTAGGCTGGCCAGTAAGCAAACACCAGGGACCCTTCTGTTCCTGAACCCTGGAGCTAGGATTCATTTTACATGGGTCCTGGGGATTAAAGGCAGATGCTCGTGCTTCTGAGCCAATGCACTTTACGGACTGAGCTACCTCTCAGCACTCCAAAGCAGCCTTTGAAAGTATGTATAATGGGAAGTTTAAAGTCCAGTAAACCCAACTTCTGGGCCTCTGCTGAGACAGCCTCTATGAGCTGTTTTTGTTTGTTTGTTTTTTGTTTTTTTTTAATCCTACTTATGAGTTGAAAGGATGCAAGTATGACCCTTCACACAGAAAACTCTGAGTCAAGTCAAATGGAGACAAAAGCTGAGGCGAGAGCTTCTCAGTGAACTGTCAATCAAGTCAAAGGGTGACCACTGTCTGGGGATGGACCTCATTCAAAACTGCTCTGCTCTAGTGGGTGCTGAGGCTGTTCATGTGCCCAGTCACCATTGACCATAGTCACATAGCCATTCCTTTCTCAAAGCTACGCAGAGCTCATGATGGTAGCTGGAAGAACCAGGGCAAGTAAAAATATGACACATGGATTGCTTTCAAATTCTGCTGTTTTTCTTCAAAACGGCTCCTTGAGTCATTACAAGGCTTTGGTTAATTGCTGGAGTTCTGAAAAAGTGGGTTGTACAGTGTTCTCAATGGCTTCTGTGGATGGCTATCTTTTTTTTTTTTTAGTTTCTTACTCAATCATTCCCTCCATTCATTTTTTATGCCACTTTGCAGTTTTTGCCATTTTATGTTTGGGGGAGGGGTGGATTCCATTCCCCGTGTTTGGAATATTCATGTCCCCTTTCTATTTTGGATGGAAAATCCCCTCCTGTATAACAAATGTCTCATCTTCCCTGTAACGCCACTGAATTCCATTTGCTCTTCCTCTTGTGGATAGAATTTATCATGCCCAACATGGCTTTGTTCATACATCTTATAGCGCCAAGCATGTGGCTTTATGTTCAGTAGTTTCAGGGCTTCACTCTGGTGATGAGTGCATACCCCAAGAGACACTGTTCACAGTGATCTTGAATATGGCCTCTAGAGTTATATAACGCACACTATTGGTCACACCTCAGCACCTTGTTTATGCATACACAGTTATTTTTAAAAGAATGATGAATAGGGGCTGGAGAGATGGCTCAGTAGTTGAGATGGAGCTCTGCCCTTGCTGAGGACCCAAGTTTGGTTCCCAGCACCCACATCTAGCATCTCATAATTGCTTCTAATTCCAGCTGCAGGGGATCCAATGCCTCTGGCCTCCGTGAGCATCTGCACTCATGGGAGCATGCCTGCCCTCAGACCCCCTACACATACACATAATTAAAAAACAAGATAAACATTTTTAAAATTAATGAAGAGACTATATTCTCCCTTTCCTCATATGTAATAGACCAACAGCGGGGCCCCTGGAGGGAAAAATACACAGTACAGATTCTGAAGAAGAAGAAATGGAAATAACTGAGCTAAATAGAGAACTACAACTGCAGCAGATTAAAAGTAAAATTCTCCTGATTTCCACAGCAACGGCAAACAATTATCCAATTCATGAATTAATCTTTTGCTTATTGCTGGATTTCAACTTAATTCAAGCTTTAGGTCTTGATTATACATGATTCCATATGTCTTATTAAAAAAATCCTAGAGGCTGCTAAAATAAAAGGAAACTTTTATCAGTCATCAAGGGTATTTTGTGGAAATCAAGTCTGCAGCTTGAACAGGGCTCCTCGAGAGGCTGAAAGTCAGAACTAGAAAATGCACAGCCAAAGACACCCCTAGGCCTTCATCTTGGCTTCTCATCCCTCCCCTCTGCACATGTGACCATTTACAATCTTTTCCTTCTCTCACAGACCTGCTTTCCCTAGGCCAGGATGCACAGGTCACAACAGCTCAGCTTTTAAGTAGTGTTTCTGTTCGTGTATCTTACCCAAATGAGGTTTAAGTTCTGAGTCTTTCTTTCCAATCCCCCTCGAGAAGGGATGTGTTGAACAAGCTCGACTGGGCAGCAGGGCAGGGATGGCTGTGCTCGGGGGGAAGGTTACATGGGGGACGTTAGCCACATCAGTGGAGCTCACTCTGTAGCCACATGAGGCTGTAGTTGATAGGGCGTTTAACAAGACTGCTTTAGTCTCCTTAAGCTGTTCTAACAGGGTTTTACAGACTATATGGATTAAACAGAAATTTATTTTCTCTCCTTACAGG